TTGACACAGCAGGTAGATTGAGAAGGACCCAGAGGGATTTGGGGGCAGGAAATTTATTAGGGCAAAGCAAGAGGAGTGTCAGAGGTCTGCAACAGTCTCAGGATTGGCACACTTCTGAGCTTGGGTAACCTGTCTTGTGTTGACTGGTCAGCTGCAGCTATGACCTATAGGCCCTCTCAGGGTGGTTGCTATGCTCTGCACTCCACTGTTACCATAAAGCACATCCAGATCCCACCAGCTAACTTCCGATTGGTTCCTTGCCACATGGAGGATATTTGACTTCTAGTGACTAGAAGGTCGAGCAAGGTTGAGAGCTCAGCATATGTTGCTAAGTCAGAGGCTTTGTCTTGCTGGGTCTTTTCTGCAGCCTGTCATGGCTGACAAAGCAGGGGACTGGGTGAGGGTCTGGTCCCTTCAAAGGGAGGAGCTATTCCTAAATTTCTAACCATTGTATCTAGTTGCATCATTTATTAGTGTCAACTTGGAGACAGGACCAGAAATTTTAGGATAATTCTGAAGTGAACTCCCCTAGAAGGATATTTACACATTCAGTCAAATATCCAAGAACTTTAAAATAGTGAAATGTGGAAATATTTTTCATGACATAATAAAGTTAGAAATTTTTCTTGATCATGTTGAGTTTTAGGTAGTGCACATTTCCTAATTAGTAAAGTGTCTATTTTTATTTGAAAGCTGAAACTGAACAATATGGAGGCTTAGTTTTATTCATCCATTTGTAGTGTACACATGTTTTGCTTTTGTGTGTATGTGTGTGTGTGTGTGTGTGTGTGTGTGTGTGTGTGTGTATGTGTTGTATCTGTGCATGTGTGCATGGAAACCAGAAGATGTTGGTGGGGGTATCTTATTCTATCACTTTCTGCTTTATTCCTTTAAGCCATGGTTTCTCTGAATCTGGAGCTTGTGTGTTTCAGCTAGTCTGGCATTCAGCAAGCCCCAGTGGTCCTCTGTCTCCAAACTCCCTGCAACACCGGGGGTTCCAGGCACTGGTGAAACCACATCTAACTTGTTGCATGGGTGCTGGGATCCAAATACAGCTCCCCAGGGTTGTACACAAAAGACGTTAATCTCTGAGCCCCTGGTTTGCTAGTTGAATACCTAATTGGAACATCATTTGAAGAATTGTAGTCTATTTTGGACGTGTCAGTATCTGCCATTACTTTGGGAGAGGCATCAGAAAATTGTAAGCAGCAGAAAAGCAGATTAAATTAGAACATGATGACATCACTGTTCTTTGGGGGAAGAGTGGATTTGAAAAACTCAAAATAACAGATGTCAAGTTGTGTGTGCTGTGATCTAACAGTAATGAATTAAAAATTAAAAACTGCACAAATATTAAATTGCATCTTGACTTCTACAAAGTAATTTCATAATAGCATGTTCACATACAAACTGACTACAGTTGAAGTGCCTTACATATACCTACACCTACACACACACACACACACACACACACACACACACAGAGGGAGAGAGGGGCGTATCTATCCATAAATCTTAAATGTATTCACTTTATTTATAGGAGTGTGTGGTGATATATTATTTGTGATTGAATAAAGCTTGCTTAAAGGGTCAGGATGTAAAGTCACCTACAAGCTATAGAGGTCAGGCAATGGCGATACACACATTTAATCCTAGTAGCCATACTGGCTAGCCAAAGAAGCTACGCCATGGTGGCACACACCTTTAATCTCAGGACTCATGAGACAGAGGCAAGTGGCTCTCTCTGATTTCAAGGTCTAATCAGTCTAAAAGAGAATTAGAGCTCACTCCTTTAATCCCTGCCCTAGAGAGGTATATAAAAGGCAGGAGCCCAGTGTCTAGGCTGCATTCTGAGATTTAGTCTCTAGTCACATTGAGGAGCAGCAGCAGTCTGAGGCTTGGAGGAGAGCTCTTGAACATAACCAACCCTTTCAGTCAGAGGTAGAGGTAAGTAAGAGCTAATGGCCAGATCTTTTGCTTCTCTGATCTTCAGCTTGAACCCCAATATCAGTCTCTGGGTCTTTTATTCATCATGTTACCTGAGTGTTTTTTTCTGAATGTATGCATATGTACCAAAGGTGTGCTTGGTGCCTATGGAGGTCATATGTGGGCATAGCATACTCTGGAACTAGACTGCAGGTAGTTGTGAGCTACTATATAAGTATATGGGAACAGAACACAAGTCCTTTGCAAGAGCAACAAGGACTCTTAACCATAGTGCCAGCTCTCTAGCTCCTATACCCACAATCTTAGAGAGGTTAAACTATTTTAACTATATTCTCTTACGTGTGGAACTCATTAGTTTTAACCAGCTTGATAAAAATTTTTCTGAAATGACATGTGTAGTGTAAAGCAAGTCAAAGCACCCACAATTCATAGCCCAGCTTCTTAGAAAGCAAAGGAAAGAATATGGGCATGTCCTCCCTTTTACCTTTTTATTTTTTTGTCATGGGAGGTGTCTGCTGTTTGCTTGGATAAGAAAACCTATCATAGGTAAGGCTCGTTTGTGAGTGATAGAGAACACTGGCCTGCAAAATTCCATGGTAGAACACGATTGACCCCTAGTGGTCACAAACTGGACCACCCACATTCAATAACAAATGTACTAAAAATCAGACTTTTCAAAGAGAGAAGAAAAATCCTGCTTTATCATTTCTACTTCACCCAATATCTGTCCTGCTTTTGTGATTTCTAGATATTTTTTAAGGCCAGGTGAATTCAGATCATGTGATTAATATTGAATATTAATATTAAGCTTATCCCAATATGCTCCAACTTTAATTTTAAGGAATACCAAAAAAGAATGTGATCACAGTGCTCAAATGTCTGGGTTTTTTTTTTTTTTTTGAATTGGGTTTTATGCTGGGAAGAATGTTTTGAAAATAATGACTGGTTTTCCTATTCGTAATCTTCTTCCAGAGGTCTCTACCTAGGAGGTTTAAATAAACAGCTTACTTAGGACTAAATGTTCTAGAACACTATAAGGACAAAGTAGAGGCATTTTCTCAAAACAACTCCCTCATCTGGGGTAGAGGGGAGGTGGGGGGAGAACTGGAAGGAGGGGAGCCTGTGGTCATGGATAAAAACAAAACAACACAAAACAAAGAATGTGGTAAATGGACATGTTACAAAATAAATCTGTGTCTTGGGGGAAAACAAACTCTCTGTGGCTGAAAACATCCTAACGTATACATTGTATGTCTTAATTTTGTTTAATGTATAGAATAGAAAATAAAGTATGGTGAGAAAGAAACAATCAAAACCCCCTGACAGTCACTTTCCCTAAGAAAAAAGAAGGGATAGAGAAGGAGAATATTTAAAATGTTTCCTTTCCCTCAGCTGCTGAATGCTAAATAGGAAAATCCAATGAACCTAAAGGGCACATTACTTTAGACGTTAATAAGATGTGTTTTGTTAGTTGGTATTAGAATTATACATAAAGGCACAAACTCATGCTAACAAGGTTACAGGGATTTTTTTTTCCTGTGGATTGATTGTGTCTATGTATTTGTATTCCTGTCTCTGTTTCAGGAATTCTTTTGATTTCATAATGAGCTCCAACATAGACAAGTCTATGATCACTTATCACAATGCCTTCTTGGGTCAGCAGTGCTACAGTAGCAACTGTTACCATAGCAACTGGGTGGGTTTAGCTGGGAGAGAACAGAGTCCTGGGCAGGGATAAGAGAATGATGAGTGTGGGATTGGTCAAAAAGAAGCTCCTAGCATTAGAAAGATGATGGAGAAAGATAGAGATACCCATGTGCTCTGTTATCAGTGGTTTTGAAATCAAACTCATCTAACTAAAAATAAATAAGCTTAACAAAGTCAACAGAGGTAATTGTCAAGTAGTGCCTTATTCAATCATTACTGTAAAGAATAGACACCTGATGTCCTTGGAAGACTCTTGTTAGCTTAGCCAGAGAGAAAAGGAATACAAACATGTCACTTTGCACAAAAAGATTTGCTACAGATGTCCTCAGGGAGATAATGCTTAAAGCTATAAAAAAAAACAAACAAACAAACAAAAAAACAAAAACAAAAAAAACAAGGAGTTAATTTAAAAAAAAAACAAGGAGTTAATTTCTACATCTTTTACAATTCCTTTCTTCCACGATGATTTCTCAAATAAGGTAGGGGAAATGGTGGTTAAAAAGCAAACCACCACCAACAATAATATCCCAAAACAAAACAAAGAAACCTCACCTGCAGGTAGTCTCTCCACTGGCTTTCCAAAAATGGATATTTTGTTTAAAATATCATTTTGAATAAGAAAACAAAACAAAAAGTCACATATGCAAATAAATTAAAGTGGATATCTATCTGTTGATGCCTTCAGTGTGTCTCCTAGGGGTGGGGAATGCCAAGAACTGGCACTATTAAGAATTTCCCACAGAACCAGACAACATGAAGGACCATGAATTGCTTTAATACTAGTGTTTGACCATCTGGAGTGTATTACAACCATGTCCTGAGCCAGCTTTACTTGGTTCTCATTGCTATAATCTAGTCCTACTGTCCTTCTACTCAGGTCACTATCCACAGCCCTGATGAGAATAGCTCCACTACTAACAGCAATGCCTATTGTTTGTTTGTTTGGATGGAGACTTGTATCAGTTCCAACTATCAAGAAATCAAGATCAAAATAAGAAGTCCCTTTCTTTTACTTTATGTGACTCAGTGACTAGCTTCCCAAATCGATATAAACTTCATGAAGGTTCATGAGAACATTTTTTTTTTACAATCCCAGTACATGCAGTGGCTTCAATATTGTTAGTGAATGGGTTAGAGATAGTATTTGTTAGTTACAGTTGTTAGAGACAGGTTTATAGAGGTAGGAGAATTGGTGAAAATCCAAAGGTAGAACAACAACAAAATCATACCCATTAGACAGAATGGCCACTGATTTAAAGACTAACACTCCTTCATGCCTCTTAAGGGTTACAGTGGAGAGACAAGGATAATTTCTACCAAGGATGACCCAACTCATTAGAAAATAATACATTTTCACATCTTATTTAATAAAAGTCAATGTGAGAGTTGTACAATGCACCTTTAGAATATTTATTTCCCCTGGGGTAGAATAAAGTATTCACTCAGAACATTTAGTCCTCCTGTGCCAGATATCCTTTCAAAAATATGGTTTTTAATTATATAATAGCATGCAATTTAACCTGCCTCCATCTTTTATTCTATAATCGCTAATTCTATGGTATCTCTTGTGGACACAGAAAGCATGTCCCTTTTTGGTCCTTGTGATCTATTGTGTTTCCTGGTACACAATTTTAATATGTTCCACATATCAGCTCTCCCAGTTTCAGTCACAAAGCAGTACAGAATTGGATCAGCTACACAGTTGAGACTGGTCAGGGCCACTGTGATTCTGTACACCGTAAACGTCTGCTTTCCAGACTTACTGAAGTTCATATTGCGCTCTAAAATGCACCGGATGAGCACCATCACGTGGAAGGGGGTAAAGCACAGGACGAACGTCAATATGATGCTCGCAAGCAACTTTATGATCCTTCTCTTCTCGCTGTTTTCTGTGGCTTGGTTGTGCTGCACAGCTTGGTACACTTTATGGTTGCAGATCATGATGGTGACCAAAGGTACTGCATAGCCCATGCACGTCCTAAACAGGTTGAGGTTGATCTGCCAGTTCTCCAGAGGGTACTTGTCATAACACAGGGTGAAGTTTGACTTCTCCTCATCACAGTATTCAACGCTTGTCTCATCTTTCCACAGAAGGATAGAATTAAAGATGGATTCCAATATCCAGATAGACAGGCTGGTCACAAGTGCAAATCTTCTTGTTCTTAGAAAAGAAAACTTCAGGGGGTAGACAACTGCTAAATAGCGGTCCAAGGCAATGCAGGTGAGGAAGGCTGTGCTGCTGTAGAAGTTCATATATGTGAAGAAAACACTCCCTTTGCATAAGGCGGGAGAGAAGGTCCAGTTGTCTTTATTCCAAGTGTAATTGATCCACAGGGGCAGAGTCAATGCATATAGCAGATCTGACAGTGACAAACTGAAGAGGTAAATTCCTAGCTCATTTTCCTTCTTTGCTTGCAGAAAGGATACACATAAAGATCCAACGTTGGCTGGGACGCTGACTATAAACACAAATATGTAGACCACTGGGAACAAATAGTGATCTAGGTCATGCTGTTCTTCCACGCACGTGCTGTTCATCATTTTTTTTTAAGTGGCAATCACATTACTTCTTAGGCTATAAACAGAAAAGAAGCCTTGCCTTGTTCTAAGTTTTCAGTGTTAAATTATTTTTTGCTAGTAGTTTTTTATTTTTGTTTTTGTTTTGGGATTTTTGATTGTTTGTTTTTTGTTTTGTTTTCCTTGATTTTTGAAGTTATAATCAATTCATCAATGCATTTAGAGATCAATATTTTTACATAGACTATCACTGCTAGAAGTCAGAATCCAAGCTCTTGAGGTGACTTAAAGTACTGAACCGAATTTAACCATCAGAAGTCTTCATGCTCAGTATCATGGACTGTTTAGCTTTCTTGAAAAGTCACTCACTCCTCTCAATGTGTCCTTTTGAATCTTACAGGAGATTGGAGATTGGTCCAAATATGAGTACACAGATTTTATTTTCATACACTTTGGCATCCTTTTAAAAGTGCCCTGTTTCTGTAACGAAAGATGAACTAGAATAGGTTAGATATTTATAAGATATATAACCTCACTACTATCATGATTTTGAAGCAGCTTTCTTTAATTTATTGGAAATATTAAATATTTTAAATTACAAAAATAGTATTTAACTAAAACAATGAAATTTAGTAAATAAAATCAAACTTAGATGCTTTGCTTATTTCAAATCAGACTTACTCAAAGGATGCTAGCTTATAGGGAATTACATTTCTCACCAGACAATGCCTAACAACCATAACCAAAGTTTGTTAAACCATTAAAGCCAATTTGGTGACTAAAAGTTGAAAAGTCACTTATTTGGATGTGATGAGAAATTGTTACTTCATTTTCTTGCTTTGGAGTGAACATAACTACATGGTTACACAATTTGTAAGTTTCAGTTTAATGTATAATGTCAGCGTAAGGCACTTCAAAATCACATTATTAAGAAAATATTTCTATAGCATACAGTAAAGTGGAATTTAAAATATAGTTTATTGAGCTTTAATGGTTAGATAGCCTTCTCTGCCTTTTTTGTTTGTCTTTTGTTTCTTATGGAATGCAGCTCACTTTGTCTCACTTATATTCCATAAATGGGGAAACAAAACCACATCATTTATGGGAAAACATTGGGATTATCAACTTCTATTCCTGGAGATGGTTTGCCCTGAGTTTTGTCCCTTTGTAACATGACAATGTCACAGAGAAGTGTTCTCAATTCCTTTGCTAGTGGGACCACGTGGTAGTTCGGATGGTTTACATGACAGATCCATTACAGAAAACTTTGAAGGGATACATTCTTTTTCCAAGTGCAGATGAGCTCCAGGGACAAAAGGATTTGCCATTACAAGGCATGACTCCGGTACTGGAATAAACCACATCCAGGATGTGTCTCACTCTTAAAAGGGAGGAGTAAAGCTCCCAAGGCCTTCTGCCTTTATCACCCCTAGAGATATGGATAAAACATGCAGAGCAGCCTGTTAAAGCGATAGCAAAACATTTGTGAGGGAAAACAGAAAGCAGAGCTGAGGAGAAGGGGGTGAGAGGGAAACAGTGGATATTTCTGGAGGCCCGTGTGTGTGGAAGAGGCAATCGGAGTCTCTGGATCAGAGAAACGAGGCAAAAAATTCACACCGTGAAGGCAGAAAAGGGCTCCACTACCATCACACACATGGGGATATGGGAGGCTCTGGCTTCTGGGAAAGAGCAAATCAGAAAGGATAAGACACTAACAGGTTCTGAGACATTTGCAGACAACAGAGAATAGATGGCGAGTTCCTTTCTCTGGCCTGGTTTACGTAAAGAGCTAAAGGAAAGAACTTTCTTCTGGGTGTTCATAGGATCCAGCAGACCCTCGACTAGAAAAGGATTTGAGTCTGTTTTGTTATCTTGGTTCATGTGACCTACTCAATGTTTCAATTTCTTTAGCCACTAGAGAAATAGGAGTTGAAACCTCAGTGAGACACCACTCAATGAGACACCACTAACATGCTCACCAGAATAACATACAAAGCAGAGAATACCAAATGCTGGTGGTGATGTAGAGTATCTGAACTCATGCATACCCTAGACTGGAAAACTTAAATATGTAATGTGATTTTGGCAGTGTTGTTTCTAAATGAACACCAACACATTTGCTAAGCAGCAGGCACTAATATCAGAATGTTTACAGTTACAGTAATATGCCCCAACTAGAATTCCCGATAGCAATAAAATAGACACCATAAGTGGTATATCGTCATCACCATCATCATCATCATCATCATCATAAACAACATCTATACATCAATGATGTTTTCATTTTGTCTTACATGAAATAATAGAGGTGAGGTTTAATAACCCAATTCTGATGGACAAGACCAATTCAATAGAGGACATATTATCAAATAAAAGCTGGCAGAAGTTGACTTATGCTGGTAAGTCAGAACAGAGATTACCTTTGGCAGGGTAGGATACCATTGAAAGAGGATGGGAGGGAGCTTCTGAGAATTTGATAGAATTCTGTTTCTTGATGTGGGTACTGATTGACTGACCATGTCCAGTTTGTAAAATTGCCAAGCTGTACATTTGGTTAGAACTTGTTCAGTTTGTAAAGTTGATTAACCTGTATACTTAGTATATATGCATCTATCTTCATAAATAATACAGAAAATAAAAGGTAAAATCAAACTGCTGTGGTTATTGGGGATAAAAAATATCTTGACAACATGGTTGACATGGAGATAGTCCACATAAGCCTTCCTAAGAAATTAATTTTCTTCCTTTTTTAACATGGAAATAGGTAAAATCAATAAAAATAAATTAAACAGCCAGGAAAGATTCATAGAAGATAAGGGTTTACTAAATAAAAATTAAGTTCTAGACAGTAGGAGAAATCAACAAATCAACAAGTACATATGTAATACAAAATATGTATTGAATTAGTTTAAAGAGATAAAAGATGGAATCAGAACACAGGAGGAGTAAAGAAAAAGAAAATGACAGCTGACAGTGATATCTCACTCCTGTAATTCCAGTGCTTGGGAAGCTGTGACTTAGGGGATGGACCATGAATTTGCAAGCAGCCTGGGCTATAAAGCGAAACCCTGACTCAGCAAAGGGGAAGGAAGTATGGAGGAGAGAGAGAATGTTAAAAACTGAATAGCCAGGTTTTCTTTTAAAATTAGAATAGACTTTGTTGCAATAAAAATGCCATAATGAAAATTTCTTAGAAGAGAACAACAGTGATAAAACTAAAGAAGTCAGGCAAAATTATCAGTGTAAAAGAAAAGGGAAAGCATCAAAGATACATAAAGAGAAAACTGAAGAGACCAGGATATGTGTGATGCCAGCTCCAGAAAGGAAATAAAGGGAGAGGAGTGAAAAGCAAAGTTCGCAAACATAACGGCGGGCGAGTTGATTTCTAGAACTGAAGAGGGCCTGGGATCCCTCTGATTTATGAAGCTTAGTAAGTGTCAGATGGGACAAAGTGAAACATCTCTACTTAGACACACTGTGACCAAACTGCAGAGACCAAAACCTAAGGTTTGGGGGGAGGGTGTGCCAGAGGTGAGAGATGGTTTACGTGCAAAGGATACATTTCAGCCCGACAGGTGGCTTATGAACAGCAATCCCTGGAACCAGATGACATCTTCATGTTTCTCCATTCCAGGAAAACGGATGTCATCCTATAAGTCTATCCCCAGTGGAGATGACCGCAAGAACCGGAGCAAACCTAGACATCTGCAGGTCACTACCACTCGGGAAAATTTACTTCTCACTTCTTGAAGAATCCTTTAATAGCTCTTGATGATATTCTATGATTTAAACCACATGGAAGACTGCATAGCCTGCTACGGACAGGGCTATCATGAATGCCAGCATCACACCCTTGGGTAGGCTCGTTCACATGAGGGAAAACACCTCAACTATAAAAGTCTTCTCTCTTGAGACCAAGAATAGAAGGGTGAGCAGAGGGTGCCTCTTTGTGTTACTGTGTATGTATATGTTTTTCTCTACAAAAGCATAGGACAGAAAATCATTTTAGGGAGGTTTTACAGTTCTCATCAGAATGGATTTCTTTAGCTAGAAAAGCACTTCCTGACTTGCTGGGAGCAATCACTAGCAGCGATGGCTTGATGAAACAGATAGCATCTGTCTGTTGTCCGACAGAGGCAGTATAAGTTTGTGGTTGCCTTTTTTTATTTTTTTATTTAAAGGTTCTCAAAGCTCAAAGAACTTTGGTTCTTCCACGGTTGTTTCCTCCTGTATAAGTTACCTATGAGGCCAGAACATCACAGGGTAGCCTAGGGACCTGTTACATGTGATGCCAAGCATCGCAGGCAGAACCTGGTCATTCATTCAAGGGAAGTGCACCTCAAAGTATTTTATTTCTGTATCTTTCCAAACACTGTTTAGGCTGCTTTAATGAAATTTTGAGAAAATAATGTTTGCCACCCTCAAGAAAATATGGGTTATTAAATTTAAACTTTATGAAGTGCCAAAAAGGCAATCTACAGCATAGCTATAATAATAATAATGATGATGATGATGATGATGATGATAGAAACAACTGCTGACAATGGCTAAAAGCAAACAGTACCAACACAGTGTTAGAGACACTTGCTTTCACCTGTAAGCTTATTTGCTGCTTACTGGGTCTCCACATGTCTCTGGCACTGTGACAGTTATTTATTAACGTGCTTATTGACACAAAAACATGACTTTCTAACCTTACGTGATTTCTGATGAATCCCAGAGCTATTCCTAGTTCACTGTACTGGTGAGGGAACAGTAGCAGGCAGCTATATCTCCCAGGGTGGCAGAGGCTCTCTCTTCCTAAGCCCTCAGTTTCCCAAAGCACTGGGTCCAGAAGAGAAAGCTGAGCACACACAGTCATCTTTGCTATCCCCATGTCTTCACCTGACTGGTTCGTCTAGGTTTGAGTTCTGACATCCCTTTACCACTATTCAAAGCAGAGGAAACCATGTGTCTTCCTCATTTCCATCTCGCTTACCAAACTTAGTCTTGCATTCACAAAACCCAAACCAGTTGAAATGTTACGAGCGCTGCTGACCATTATGCCAATGTACTCCATCTACTTTGAATTCTTGTTCTATTCTTTAATATCATACTCACGAGTTTCAGGAGTGATGCTGCTCTTGACTGAGGAGGCTGGCAAATCTGCTTGTATCAAGAAGAGAAACCAGTAGTGTTGTAGGGACAGGAAATTGCACTCAGATTTTGTCATAAACCAATGAGGAAGCAGCTCCTTAATGAGAAGGCTTACATTATCTGAGTTCAAACAAAAGGATCCCTTCAGTACTTTAAATGATGTTTGGGTCATTTATTGTGGGGTAATTTTCTTAACTCATTTTTCTTTGCATCTTAATTATACATGTATACTTATATGTATGCCTTTTCTTTTCCTGTGTATGTATGTGTGCATGCTGTGTGCACGGGTGTGTGCAGTGCAGGTGCCACCTATGTGCATATTTGTGGAAGCCAGAGAAGGATGTCAAGTGCCATGCTTTGTTTTATTGATTTTCTTTCTGCCTGTTCCTTTGAGACATGGTCTCTTACTGATCCTGGAAGCAGACAAGTGGCTAGCAAGCCCCTGCGGTCTTCCTGTCTCAGCTCGTCCCGCTGCTTTGGGGTTAGAGGTGTGCATGGAGCTATTATGCACAGTTTTTTACTTAAGCACTGAGATCCCAACTCAGGTCCTCATGCTGTGCAGCAAGCCCACTGATTCATCTTCACAGATTCTGATATTTATGCTTTACGAAAATGATATTTTATAGTTATCTAACCCATTCATTTCTTTGTCCTGCTTACATCCACCTATTATGGTCCTGATGTTCAGGACTGAGTATTACCTCAAAAAGACTTTTACCCATGAAAGAGAGGATCACACACAACATGGATGCATCAGAAGCACAGCTAAGCACTTCTAGGTATGCTTAAGTAAGGTAGTGTGAGTCATTAGGATGTATGAGAATCGAGAGGATGCTATGGGCCAGTTTGGGGTGATTTGTTTCATGGAAACAAAACAAGAGGTGGAGAGATTTTGTGGTGAATAGTGTGATTTAATGGCAAAGTGGGTGGAGTCAAGATAGCCACCTTTGTGAGATCCTTTTGCTGCGGGGCGATGAGGGGTTTGACTAATAGGATTAGATGTGTAGTATTTGATTACAGGAACATTTTCTCTTCTAGTAACCCTCTGAGAATAGAAAGCAGTGATTGCTAAAAGCAACTGATGAGACTGGCTCAGGAAAATAGATAATTATGGAATTCAAAACTTTGTTTGTGAGTGATACAGATTATTATTTTAAAAGGCTAATGCAGTATTTTAACAAGGTGAACCTATAAGTGCTTTAATAGGAAATGAAATTAGTTTCTAGAACTACTTTTGAGAAAAGAAAAGTTAAACATCATCTTAAACTATATCCCAATAAACTTTGATTAGAAATGAAGGCAAGAATATTATTTTTTAAGTGTGAAATTAATTTGGAGTGGAAAGTTCTAACTCATTTTTAGGTCCTAGTTTGTGTTGGTAGAAGGACTTTTCATCTAAGGCATATCTGGAATGTGAAGGCTTTTGAAAGTTTCCTCATATGTCTTTAAGAATCATGAAAATATGCCTGGTTTTGGTGGTACATGCCTTTAATCCTAACACTCAGGAGGCAGAGGTAGGTGGATTTTAGAGTTTGAGGCCATCTTGGTCTACAAAGCAAGTTCCAGAATAACCAGAGACACACAGAGAAACCCTCTCAAACAAAAGAATCATTAAAATAATGAATTTGTAAAGTTCTCAAGAATTTGTAAATAACATGTAGTAACTGAAAACTTCAGGATCTATTCCCATTGAGATGATGAAAAAATTAGGTAAGATGTAAAAAACGAATGGCCAAAGGCTTCAGGGCCCAGAGTGGCAGGGGTGGTGGCAGCTCAATTAATGTATGGCTTCTTTTGCAACCATGGAAACATGAATTCCATCCTCAGAACCAGTTTCACAAAAACCTAGTGTGGTGGTGCATGATTGTAACCCAGGTAGTGACAGGCAAGTTCCAGGTTAGGAAAGGACTGCCTTAAGTCTAACAACAAGAAAAAAAGTGTGGTGGTGCCTGAGGAGCAATGTCCAAGTAGCCTTCAGGTTAATATGTGCATCTGCACACATTTACGCACACATGTGAAACTGCACACACATGTGAATCTGCACATACATGTGAACCTGCACACACATGCACATATACACACATACAGAAAAAGGGGCTTAAAAGTTTAGAAAAATGAAAACAATAGTTTCTGTTTACTCATGACTACAAATCTTTTTCTGCTTGGTTTTGCACATTTGCCTAAATATTTTTTTTTCTCTTTCAGGATTCACACAGTATTTAATTTTACCTAGATAGATCCTACTTCTGTTTTTAGAGAAAGAGTATTTTCACATCCATGTCAAATATCTATGTACTTTACTCTTCAAAAAAAAAAAAAAAAAAAAAAAAAGAGGATGTAGTTAGAGAACATGAGATACAAATTTTCACTTCTGCTTAAATAAGAAAAAAATGTTAGCGAACTATGACAAAACCTCGCTTCCTTCACACAAGGAGACACCAGCTTCTATGAATTCTGCATCTTGTTTAGTGATATTTGATGAACAGTTGGAAATTTCGGAGCCCTTAGACACTGAGGTATTTTAGCATCATAACGACAAATCAATGAACAGTTTTTCACAATACTGGCTTTATGGAGTCAGAATTCTTTGGCCGGTCAGTTTTCTTGTCTTCTGAGATCACAAGGTGGACCCCAACATTGACCAGAGGCAGCATACTTGGGCTTAAAATAGGAAACAAAGCAAACGAATGTGAATCTGATGGATTATGACTTCTTCATGGGCACAGTGTGGGTGATTATTCTGCTGATGAAGGATCTTTTTTGTTTGTTTGTTTGTTTTGTTTTGTTTTTTAAAGTCTGCATCACTTGTCTGGTACAACTTCTAAGATTCAAAGCAGCAAATAAATATGGCAGGATCAAGTTCTGATACCCCACTATGCATTCTCATTTTTATTTCTTTTTATACATTCAATTGGCCATTCTGTATTAGTTGCCTAAAGAGAAAGGATTCTTTGAAGAAAGTAATGGGGGAAAAGGTGATGGACTGAGTTTCAAAAGAGGCTGCTGATAGAAAGGAACAGTTGTTTGGGGGAAAGCCTGCTGAGATAGTGAAGTTTTATCCAGATTCAGATGTGATATATGCATAAAGTAAGGCTCTTAGAAAATTAAATATAAAGAAAAGAATATAGAATAAAGGTTTATATTAATTACATATTGTGATGGTAATATTTTGGATATATGACATTAAATAAAACACACCATTGGGATTAATGTTCTGTTTAAACATTGATGCAGCTGATAGAAAAGTTCAAATGATGTCTGTGTTTGGTGTTATCTCTGTTGGGCAGCATCGTGCTGGATGTTGAAATAATCTCCCTTTTGAAGTGTGTTGTGATTTGAACATGAGATGTTTTGCAGAGCCTCACGTGGTGCTGATTGGGGAAGGTAGAGCCTGGCTGGAGGAAGTGGGTCTGGGAAATGGGTCTTGATTTTGTATAGCCTGACCTCACTTCCTGCTCACTATATGTTTCCTGGTTGCAGATACAATGTGACCACTCACTCATATCACACTCTGATGCCATATCATCCCTAACATGATGAATTATAGCTTCTTAAACTCTAAGACAAAACAAAACAAAACAACAACAATAACAAATAAACCTGTCCTCCTGAGTTGCTTCTGATCAGTTACTTGGTTATGTGATAGAAAAAGATAAATAAAAAGGTCATTAACATGTAAACTGTCCTTTTCTTCATGCCTAGGAGATGGATAGACTCTTACATTCATCTCCTGGCAGGAGCACACACACACACACACACACACACACACACACACACACACACACACACACAGGATACTGAAAGCTGAAAAGAGACTAAACATATTGCAGATACAGCATGAGAGTGAAATTTCCTGGCTTCCGTTTACTTGAGCAAATGCATGCAGTAAACCCCGCTGACAAATGAACTATAGGTAGAGGAAGCAATTGTCAAAGTGAGAAAATGCATTGTAATGATCCCATTAGCCAAGGGCTATATTCAGCTGCAGCCAGATTTGTTGGCTGCAAACAACAGAAACTGTACCACAAAAAGTGACCTGGAAAGCAGCCAGGACATGAATGATCCATGAATGATGCAGAACCTGGAGGATGAGGCTTAGGAAATTGGTTAGAGAAAAGAACAGAAATCCTCGTCATCCTACATAGGTTTTCAAATTCGGATGGGTCTGTTGACTCCAATGTGCTGGGCCCTTGAGGCCATTTTAGCTAGAGTCTCTGTGGCACTACCTCTCCCTGGACTCTTGGGGTTCCAGTGTGATTTCTCCACTTTGTATACTGTAGAGAGCCACCGGTGCCACTCCCGAAAATGGCGCCGGTTTCCTGTCCATGAGCCAGCAAGGCGCGGTTGTTTTTGACAATGCGCATGCGTGATCCACATCATGGGGTGACCGTTTCGAGTGTTGTGGGCTGCACCTATCAGTTTAGGACATGACTCTCTAAAGCATATATAAGCAGTGCCTTTTTCCTCCTTCGGGCTCTTCCCTCAACTTGCTGTGATGAGCCGCGCAATAAACATAGCTGCAGAAGAATCCTGTTGTTGAGCATCGTTCTTGCAGGCAAGGTGATAGCGCTCAATAGGTCATCCTTCCAAGGTCAAAGGACAGTTTGAAGGAACTGACTGAAGGAGTCTGGTTACTGCACTGAAAGCAGGAAGAGGGAGACTCTGGTTTCTTCATTCTTGAAGGAGGCATAATTCTGCCCCGCAACACTCTTACTGTGGGGATTCAGTTATAGGTATGGATGAGTGTAGGGCCAAAACTCAGGGAAAAAAATAAAAAACAAGGACTGGAGAAATGCCTCTGTGTGTAAAGGAGCCCACCATCACCATGCCTGATGACCTGAGTTCACTCCCTGGGACCCATGTAGTAGGAGAGGAAGGAACACTGACCTCCACATGTGCACAGAGTCATGGGTGGTCAACCCCACAAATAAAAATAAATAAGAATCTGATAAAAGAAGTAAAGAGAAAAAACCCCATCATTCAAACGAGGAAACACAAAAGTGGAGTTCCCACTCTGTAATG